TACGGTGACTGAAGTTGAATCGCTAAAGGAAACCGCAATCGAAATCTTTGACAGAGTGCATTTCCAGTTGCACAAATGGCACTCGAACGAGCCAAGTTGTTTAGAAGCACCTGGAGTGACATGATCCCGAGACGGAACCAAGCTTTGCCAAACAGCAACTGGGAGTAAAGAACGATGAGACCAAGTTGTTGGGCATGAAGTGGAACAAGTCCACAGATCAATTAGCAGTGGTATTCCCTGATGTTGAGTCAAAGGAGGACACTAAGAGAACAGTTCTCAGCAAGCTAGCTTCCATATTCGATCTGTTAGGACTAACAGCACCAGTAACCCTATCCGACAAATTCATATATCGAGACATGTGCAACTGTCGAGGACTTTGGGATGAGGAACTGCCGGAAGCCATCATGAAGCGGTGGAAATTATGGAATGCAAAACTTCCAGTGCAAATTGAAGTACCCAGAAGTCTGGCAATGCATCAAGACAAGATTTATTCGATAGATCTGCACGCCTTCGGTGATACCAGTGGCCAAGGGACAGCTGCGGCAGTTTACGCGGTGGTGAGCCAAGAACAAGGAGTCATGCAAGGTTTGATAACGGCAAAGTCACGGTTGGCGAAGAAGAACTTAACTATACCCAGGCTAGAACTTGTCTCGGGACAAATGGCTGCAAATCTACCAGACAACGTGAGAAATGTATTAACGAGATTCCCGGTGCAAGATTGTTACGGTTGGTTGGATAGTACGGTAGCTCTACATTGGATCAACGGCGAAGGGAGCTACAAGCAGTTTGTACGAAATCGGGTAAAGAAGATCAAGGAAAAGAGTTACATAAAGTGGCGACACGTTGGAACAAAGGAAAACCCAGCCGATATTGGTAGCAGAGGTTGCGCAGGTGACAAAATTCCAGACGAATGGCTCAATGGTCCGTTTTGGTTGTCCAGCCCGAGTGACCAGCCACCAGAGATCGCTACCCCGGCGACAGATGCATCTAGTGCTGAACTGAAGCTGGATCAAAGAGCAGTGTTAAGCTGTGCAGTGGATGCAGAAGCTGAGGTGATGTACGGAATACTCGAGAAACATAGCTATTGGAAGGCGATGAGGATAACTGCTTGGATAGCAGAATTCCTGTTCAATTTGAGATCGCAGCCAACAGAATGGCGTCGGGGAGTGTTAACCACCGAAGAAATTCAAGAACAAGTCAATTGGTGGATAAAGAAGGAACAGTTACGATACGATGACACTGAATAACTAGAAGAAGATAAACATCGTCTCAACCTGAAGGAGAACGAATCAGGCTTGTTGGTGTGCAAAGGGCGAATACAAGGCGAATACCCCACTTATATTCCTCCCACATCAAAACTGGCAGAGAAGATCGTGATGCATGAACATGTGTGCACCTTACATGGGGGAGACGGAATGATGATGGCTGCGGTGAGGAAACGCTACTGGATCCCACGGCTACGTCAATTAACGAAAAAAGTGAGAAGAAATTGCAACGGATGTAAGAGATTTCAAGTAACCCCCTTTAACAAACCACCCACAGGCAACCTACCCAAGGACTGAACGCAGGGAACCAGACCTTTCCCAGGTGATCGGAGTCGACTACGTGGGCCCATTCCTGTACAAGAACCGATCAGGCACTAAGTCGAAGGCTTATCTACTTTTATTCGCGTGTAGTCTTACGAGAACAGTTCATTTGGAACTCTTACCGAACATGTCGACCGAGGAGTTTATGCGTAGTCTAAAGCGAGTCGTAGCGAGAATAGAATCCGGAAGATTTCCAAGAGTGAGCTAGTAAATGACTTTCTCGTGAAGAACAACATTACCTGGCAGTTTAATCTGAGCAAGGCCCCGTGGTGGGGTGGTCAGTATGAAAGATTTGTTGGTCTGGTGAAACAATCTTTGTACAAGGTGATAGGAGCATCGCACTTGAAGTGGAAAGAACTCGAGGAAGTCGTGTTAGACGTGGAGATCAGCTTAAACAACATACCTCTTACTTACGTAGAAGACGATGTGGAGTTGTCAGTTCTTACCCCTAATCTGATGATAACTGGTGAATCGTATGTTCTTCCTGACGAAGAAAGGGATTCGACGGAAGAAGAAGAGATCAAAAGACGTGCAAAGCATGTACTGCGAAGTAAGGAAGCTGTATGGAAAAGATGGATGGGGGAGTATATGAGAGCCCTTAGAGAACGACACAACCTTAAACACCAGGGAAAGAATAAAACGCCAACGGTCGGAGAAGTAGTGTTAATCAAGAACGACAGTAGAAATCGCGGTAAATGGAATATCGGCATAGTTACAAAGCTGATTAAGGGACGTGACGGAGTGGTGCGAGGCGCTCAAATGAGATCACGGAAAACGACGATCGACCGGCCGATACAAGATCTTTACCCTCTAGAATTGTCAACCGAGTCAACCAAGCAGGACGATCGCGAACAACCAAAGAGCCTAGACCCACGTGCTAGAGAATTCAGACCCAGAAGAGCGGCGGCTGTGTTGGCGAAAGAGAAGATAAAACTTTGGGCGGGGGACGAGGATATTTAGTTGACATTCCCCACTAATCGTGGACAATGGGGGGAGAGTGTCGGAGACCTTTAAGTACTTTATAATACGAAAAACGTATAGTTCATTTTGTTTAACCTTATTTGGTTCGCGCGCGTGATTACCACACAAGGACGCTTTGTGGGGGGCAGTGAGAGAATTTACATTTCAAAAAGGGCGAGATATTTCTGTGATTTGTGAAGCAAAAAATATAATCCTTTGTAAACGTTAGTGAGTGAGTGATTTCTTTATTGTCGGGAAGCAATCCCGACAATGACATGGGAATTCACATTGGCCGAGGCACCATGGCAAAACGGGTGCTCAGAAGCGTTGGTAAAGTAAATCAAGAAAGCTCTTATGGTAGCAATCGGAGACAACATCCTGACATTCTCCAAGCTGCAAACGGTGTGTTTCGAAGAGGCCAACCTAGTGAATGAGAGATCAATTGGGAGAAACCTGACATTGCCGGACAACGGAACGTACCTGTGTCCGAATGATCTGCTCTTGGGTCGGGCGACATCCAGGATACCAAGTGGTCCCTTTCTTGAGACAGCCAACCCGAACCACCGACACAAATTTGTCCAGAAAATCATCGACACGTTTTGGAAAAAGTGGATTCGAGATCATTTCCCAAGTTTGATTGAGCAAAAATGGCATACAGCCCAACGAGATCTAATGGTGGGCGACGTCGTCTTGATTCAGGACTCAAATGAAGTAAAACTGGAGACTTGGTAGGGTCTCAAAAGTCAAGCCTGGAAATGATGGAAAGGTTAGGAATGTCGAAGTTCAGTACAAGAATCCAAAGAGTGGAGAACCCATCAATAAATATGGTGGTCAAGATTATGTCGCAGTTGAACGAGCCGTTCACAGATTAGTGACAATTCTGCCTGCAGATTATGATGATAAGTGATGAAGAAATGATAAGAAACTTAAGAACACAAACTTGAAAAACACTCCTATAGTCTTATTATGTTGAGTTACGTTATTTCTGGTAGAACATTGTTTTGCTGAGAACTTGCTAACGTTTTTAGAAGGTGGCAGTGTTTCGTTTAGTACGAAAGTTTAGCGAATGACTTTTGAGCGATGTGAAACAAGATTACGAAGTTTACGGAAGCGACTTTTGGTTGATGGAAAATATATGGATATTTGGACGCCATGTTTGATTGAGTGTTGTAGACTTTTAGAAAGTGATATAAGAGGCAATATTTAAGAATTTGTAGCCGTTTAATTGCAAGGAGAACACCGGGTAATTAATTGCATGTGACTTTCCATTTATCTGTATGTCTTTTTTATTGTAAGAATATGTGTAATTTTATATTGTTTAGATTTCAAACTATTAAATGTATGTTGACATTCGTCGTTGTTTGTTTCTGAAATGGCGGTTGAAAACGAAGAAAGTGGCTAACAAAACAGGTAGTATTGCTTAATATTTCATATCTATTTGTTGTCTGATATTTTCCATCTTTAACAGTGGTTGCATGCCCAATGTGGGATTTATCGGTTTGATTTTGCCGTCTTAGTTCGACAGTTTTCCATTCTTGCGATGCACTATGAGCTTCTGTTTGTAAAATTCTGACGACAGTCATAGGCTGCTTTGCTTGTTTTCAAGATCTTTAACCTTAGCAGATAGTTCAGAGATTAGATACGATTCGTTGTTAACTTTCTCTTTTGGGCGTAATTTTCTTCCTCAAATGTCAGGGTTTCATTCAAGGTGCGCACTGCTCGTATTTTGCTAGTTAATTCAGTGGTAACTTTCAAGGTTTTCATGTCGTTAAACAGTACTTCAAATTTCGTTTCCATTTTGTTCTCTAGCTGTTGCAAGTATTTCATTATCTCACCGCTTACTCCTACTTCGCCTTGCATCAAATCATAGGGGTCCTCACTGGTTAGTAACTTAGCTGCTTTGACGTTGCCATATGCAAACAAAGAGCAATTACCCCTTTGTTTTGACTCTACCTATACAGAAAACAACCAACAAGACACCAATGCCTTACAGATAGACAATAGTGATGTTAATGAAGTCTTTATGGTTGGATTTTCTTGCAAACCCTGTCAACAACCAACAATGCAAATGAGGAGCAATTACCTCTTTGTTTCGACTTTACAATTAATGAGTGCTTTAAATTAAACAAAAGAGTTGTCAAATCAAGGGAAGAATAGAACATTACATACTCCACCCATAACATCTAATGATGCATCAATAAAGCTTAAACAGAAAGTAAGCAAAATATAAAGAAAATCCTTTTTGGAAATATCAATTCTGAGACAGACCACCCTCCTGCCTTTGTCAACCAACCAAAGATTGGTTAGACCATCTACACCTTGTATGTCACATATTGGTGTACTGTTTCCCCAACACCCAAACGCCAAGTCAAAAGAATCTTCAGAAAGGCCAATACCTGTCTGAATTAAAAACTGGCTTGCGAAAACCAATTGCTTTTCACCCACTGTGCGGAGCCATATAAGCCGCGATAGTGGATAGTAATATTATAAACATCACTCCTAAAATTTCATCATCACTCATGCCTAAAACTGCTACTAAACAATTAACTTGCCCCAAGTTTTCCACTGTCCCCAAAGTCGATGAAGTCCGTCTTTTTGCCTCGCAACATTACTTCGATTTTCTTTTTTATCACAGAAACATGGCTGAGGAACATTATTGGTGAGAACCAAATAGCACTCGAAAACTTTAATCTGATAAGATAAAACTGTTTATCCACAGCAAACATCACTCCTATCCCAAAAGAAAAACCTGTGTGTGAAATTAATAAACATCTTAGGCCAATTTCACTTCAGCAGTTTAAAGATAAAGAGCAGAGCCCAGCAAATAACTTTAAAGCCAAACATAATAAAAGTAAAAATTTATTGGCTAACGTTTCGTTGTTTACAACACAACATCTTCAGACCAATCTAAATGAATGGTATGGTATGTATATTTACAAATAATGGTTTAATATTATAAAAATGGTTACACAGTTTGAAAGAACAAATGAATGGAAAGAAAAGAAAACAACTTATCAGTGACTAGTTAATACGTAAAGATTAATGTTAAGTGCATGGTTAGTATAGTTAAGGTTCATATTACATAACTAAAGAACTCGAGAGCGGTAGATCTGATATTAGTATTAAGTTGTTGCTTGCCAGTTCGAACTAGTTACATTTCCTGCCCCAACGGTGTTCAGTTCAACCAAGAGCTCCTGGGACTGGAAAGAATGAAGTGCATCGGAGATGATATTCTTGTTTACGGTACCAATGAGAAAGATCATGACCAAAACTTCGAGAGGCTCTTTACTAGAGCATCTTTACTAAAGAGTCTTCTGTAATGCTATTTGATGGAATTATATTACATATATAGCAATAGTAAGTGAATATTTGAAATAATTTGTAAACTAAATTACAAGGATCTTAAAATCCACATCTGCACTCACTCACGACACAAAACATACTCTAAATATGTAATAATAAAAGGACCTTCAACCTCATCTGCCAGTCATCGGAACAAGCAGCCAAAGCGAAAGGAAAATGGGAACGAAGGTAGATGCCATAGCACTAGTGGAAATATTAAGGCTGCCATAGAAAACAAAGTTTTCGGCTTTAATTTATAGCTGTTAAAAGTCGAGGCAAACAGGTCAGTGTCTTTTCTTTATGTGATCAGTTGATTGCTGACGCAACGAGGATGCCTGAAGTGAGCGAGCAAGTCAGCAGTTCTAATTCGTACTGGGCTCTGAAAGTAAAATTTTACTTCTGTTTCTCCAACCAGAATGCATTGCTGTTAACCGACCAGAATTCTTTGCATGCATGATGCTATAAATGTGGGGAATCTCGGTCAGTTTATATCATTGAATTCAATGGTTTAATGGCCGCATGATGACCCGCACATTTCGAAAAACAACAGGATCTGCAAACTGAGTTTGCAACTTCAGGAAACAAGCAACGCTAATCGCATTATTAATTACCGCTATAAGATGACATCAATCCAGGTTCAGTTTAAGCAACGCAGTGTGAAACCAAGCAAGTAATAAGTTAATTTTCTGTTGTGCATTAAAAAAAAAGTGTACAAATATGTCAGGATGATATTTACAATGCTGACTGTTGACAAGTCACCTATGGTCAGGCTATACTATAGCGTATAATGCGAAATAAGGCTGCGTGTAATAATACTCGAGCATGAGTTGTAAAACAAAACGTTCTTGATATCTTAGAGATCGAATAGCGTGAATAATATTCAACCTAGATTTTGTTTACATTCAAAGTATGGCATGATAATTCCATATTGAAACGTCGAAACCTATTTGCCATCTTTATAGATTTTGGCAGTATAAAAAGTGCAGCGGCTTCAATGGCTTATACACTTATACCGCCTTTCCCAAGGCCCTAGTGCACAAATGAATCTGGAACAAACGTTTTTACCGTTTTCACCAAGATATATATCTACATATTATTCTAAAAACAATAGCTGCATTGACATCATTGTCTTTACGGAATTTACGCCCGCGCCTGCGTTGTCGGGTAATAAATAATATAAGACTCCTTTTAAGCTTCCACTGGTTAAGAAAAGATGGGACATCTTCATAACCTGTCAGCAAAAGATGGGACATCACTAAAAGTATTCTAGATATTATTCCAAAAACTATAGCACTAGCTGCACTGCCTTATACCCCAACTTAGTGTGATGTAAAGAATAATATAAGACTCCTTTTAAGCTTCCACTGGTTAAGAAAAGATGAGGCATCTTCATAACCTGTCAGCAAAAGATGGGACATCTTTCTGACACAAGAGTTTTCACTAAACGTATTCTAGATATTATTAAAAAATCTAGCGCTATCGCTGCATGCACCGCTTTACTCTATAACTTAGCGTGATAGGACTTAAGGACTTTTATAATATAGGACTTTTTTAAGCTTCCACTGGTTAAGAAAAGATGGGACATCTTCATAACCTGCTAGCAAAAGATGGGACATCTTTCTGGCGCACGAGTTTCCACTATATATATATATATATATATAAATACTCATAATTACTCAGATAATATGTATGCACTTATAGTTATTTTGCATTCTGCACTGCGCAATCTGCGCTGTCATGCGAAGAACAAATGAATATAATATATGGTTCTTTTATTATACCAGCCACTGTATATATATGTAAATAAATATTATTTGTCTTGTGCTGCCATGTAACAAAATATAGAAATGAGTATATTATAATGAATATATTACAATCAACTTGCGGTTGTGATAGCCCTGCTTGAAAGCTGTGGTACCCGGCGTATCTAACATACTGTATACTAAAGCAAATAATAACTGATTAAGTGGTGCGATACCTACAGCTTTTTGACTATATTATACCTAACTGATTATGCATCAATCTTTAATAAGCACCCATCAAAATATTGCCAGTTTGTTTGATCTTGATCTGCATACTGAATCCATACACATGATTGTCAAGCAGAATGCACTCTTTCTTCAGACCAGATTTTGGCACAATTTGAACTTTGCGCGGCATTGTCTGCTAACATTATTATGAATTGGTGATGACAGCCTGGTTTGTATGTTAGCTCAGTCAGTTATTTGCTACAACATCATATCTGTATGGGGTTAAATTTCATGCATGCATAAATTATTTCACTATAAATTCATTATACATGTCACCACTCTTACCACCTCAACTAATAATGCTGTGGTGACCAACACAAGATGATTCAATTTATAGGCATGTGGGTCCTCATGTTAGTGATGTTAACTATTCTTTACAAGAAGAATTCACTAAAGACTCATCGATGATATGTTTTTACGTTAGTTTCAACGCTGTGTTTGAGCGACAATATCTCGCATCTAATTTACGAATACGGCGAGTTTTGCACAAGTCTACTAAGCATGGCTCAGTGTGTTTAGTTCTACCAAGTAGATTCTTTATAATGGATCTTGCTGTCTATATGGATGTCTCAACAAATCCAGGGCCCGACCAAGAAGTCTCTAAATCTAAGTCATTCCAAAGTTTTAAACATTTTTCTCAATGTCATGCTTCGATGTCATGGTTGACTACCACCAACCTTAATTATTCAACGTTGCCAGTGTCTGCTTTTAACAACAACAATCTGACTCTGTATATACCTGCATGGTGTTTGCATTTGTACTGTATCACTGAAGCTTCGCCGTTCTGGGAAAGATATGACAGCCTAGCTTGTAGCAATGATTTCCCTCTAGTACGCTCATGACCTATACCTGGTCTTATCACTCAACGATCTGTTGATATCCACTGTTATAGACCACGCTTTCAAAACAACTTAGTACAAGTAAAGTTAACTCCTGACTACCACCAAGAGGAAAAGCGTCCGGTGAAATTTGGTTTGTGGAATTGTCAATCTATACGTAATAAGACAGTCTGTTTTACAGATTATATCTGCTGACTTATTCGTCTTCACTGGAACATGGCTCACTGATGCTGCTATCAAGGCTGAGTGTACACCGGATGGCTACAGATAGATAGATAGATAGTTTAATAGATTTTACATGGCAGCCGAATTGGCTGAATTGCATAAAACAGATTAAAAACAACACATGCATAATTACATATTACTGAATGTAATAGTATTACATATGTAATGTTTACAACATGAGCGGCCGTGTTGTATCAGATATACAAACTCGAGCCGAAGGCGAGAGTTTGTATATCTGATACAACACGGACGCGAATGTTGTAAACAACTTAAAAAACGACTCATCTTATGAGTTCATTGGCGAAGTAATTTTAAAAATAAACGTTGTCTAAGCCAAGAAAATCAAAGTTAAAGTTTATGTAAATCAACATGAATCTGTATCACATATACAGATACAACACGCTTATGATTTTTCTTTGTGTTTTCGTCATGAATTATTAATGAGTTTTTTAATATATGATATCAGCACAAATTCAGATGTCCCCCACCACCACCACCGCTAAAATAAGAATGGACCAAAGTTGTAAGCACAACTAAAAAACCCCAAAACATGCATAAAAGCAGAAGGTTAATGCGAGGCAGCGGCAAAGGTGGTGGAAGTCATATCAGAACCCCACCAATATCCTTTTAAACTACTCCTTTGACATACAAACGACAAAAGTGTTCCTAACACAATTTGTTCGTGCGGTCGGACAGTCAACAGGTCGCTGTCTTCTCAGATTATATGCTGAGATATTCTTGGGTGACAGAAGATGGTGAAGTTTGTGCTCGGTATCAGATATAACTGACTGAAATAGTTTCTTACACAGTTTCAACTGCCTGTCTCTCAAGGAACTGATATTCAATTTCCTAAGATTGTCCGTATATGACAACCCCGGAGATATTATGGACAGCGCACGCTTTTGAATACGCTCAAGGTTATCACACAAGTATACAGGGAGAGCATGATGGAAATCAGGAGCACAATACTCAAGAACTGGTCTATTAACAGTGCAGTAAAAATTGACAATATTGTGCTTGAGCAAGATCAAGAAATACAAACGTTATTCGCTTTCTTGATTACTTCGTTAACATGGTCAACCCATTGGAGTTTTTTGTTTTTGTTTTTTTTAACAGCTCTATTGGACATACATATAAAAGGTTACATATTATTATACAAACAAAGAAAATTACAGGGTATACGTCCAATGGGGCTAGCGCAAACAGGACAACGAGACCCATGCAGGGCGCCACCCCTAAACTAAACTAGTGAAAACAAACTTATTTACTATACAGAATATACATATATAACTTAGGACTTAAGTACGGTGACAAGGGCAGTCTCTTATGAGCGACCAAGTACATGTCATATCTACATTAAAAGTACTGTTCACCAAGGCGGTGTGTGTCTTGTGCAAAAAGCTTTTAAAAATATTTACATTGGCAAACTTTTCTGGAGAGGCTATTTTACATATATAGTTCCAAGGCTTTACTATTCTATTAAAAAACAATGCCTGAAAGGTGGATGTTTTACAGCAGGAGTGTTTTAACATTAGGGCTGGATTTTGTGCGCAAGATCGATTGTGCTCTACGAAGGTTAAAAGTTGATTAATGTTTAAATCGGTATGACCAAAAATACATTTATAAACCAACACAAGATCTCCGATTTCTCAATCATAAGTTAGTGGAAATAGGTTTAGAGATATCAGCCTGTCTTCATATGACAGCTCACCAACTTTAGTTCTTAGAATCCATCGAGTTGCCCATCTCTGTACCCGTTCTAAGAGAATCTGCAACTTTGCGTTTGAAGGTGACCAAACCTCAGTTGCGTAGCACAGCTGCGACTTTACCAAGGCTAGATAAAGTGTTCATCTAACTTTGGTGTCTGTGATGAGAGGACATGTTCTCTTCAGGAGACCAAGCATCCTGTTAGCTTTGCTGACGATTGAGGAGATGTGAGTGTCCCAAGATAGCTTGCTATTGACGATAACTCCTAGGTCGTTTTCCTGTTGAACGCATTGTAAAATGGCGTTGTCCAGGTGGTAGTGCGTAAGTACAGGCGATTTCTTCCGAGTGACCGTTAATACCTTACACTTGGAGGCATTAAACTTCATATTGGAGTTATGACTCCAAGTATTTAGGTTCGATATGTCACATTGCAAGTTCTCACAGTCACTTTGGGACGAAATAGAGCGGTATAATTTTGTGTCATCTGCATAGAGAGCTGAACTCGTCTGTTCCTGGATAGAGTCAGGTAAGTCATTAATAAAGATGACAAACAGCAGAGGTCCAACAAAGCTTCCTTGGGGCACATCAGAGGTGACTGGTAGGTACTGAGAGGCAACACCGTCTATCACAACTCTCTGATATCTATGGTTGAGATAGTCCTTAAACCAGTTAAGGAGTTGACCCATTACGCCATACCATGTAAACTGGAGTGAACTGGATATGGCACTGCTCACCAGTTCAAGTTCTTTGGAGTTGATTGTGATTGCATCAAACTGTTGTTTTTGTCTCTTAAAGTCGATGACCATTTCTTTACACTTGTCAGCATTCAGTTGGAGCTTGTTGACATTACACCTCTCAACATCAGTAACAGCGTTCTGGATAAAGGTTTCGCCATTTCGTGTAACAACTTCAGCTAACATGGTGTCATCTACATACTTCCAAGCATGCGCTTCAGATGGATTGAGGTCAGGTGGTCGATCAGATCAAAGGCTTTTTTATAGTCTAGCAATATGATCGTCACTGCTGCACCTGTTCCATCAGTGGCAGAAGTCCACACATGCATCATGGATATAAGAGCCTGAGTAGTAGATGACTTTGGGATGGCACCAAATTGATTGGGATCGATGATTCCAAGAATAGCTGGTCCAACATAATTCTTAACGATAAAGTCCTCAGTTAACGTCGATAGAGCTGATGTTAGCGAGATGGATCTTATATGCTTGGCAATTATTGAAACCGGTTTCGTCTTAGACAGTAATGTGATATTGGCATATTTCCATGATGCTGGAAGCGGTTGTTCCTCTAATGAACTGTTGATAAGATGTTTCAAACAGGATTTGCAAGAAATTCTGCATATTCTTTAAGTATCCAGTTAGGCATCTCGTCTTGACCACACGCTTTGCGGGGTGGTTTAACATTAGTAATCTCGAATACACAGTATAAACATCAAGCTTTAATACCTCAAATTTTTCGTCGAATGGAGGAAGACAGGCAAGTGGTTGGTATGCTTGCATGGCTTCCAGGAGAGAGGTGTTAATAAGGTCTGCAATATACTTATTTGACTTTCCATCAATGTCGCCAATGTGAAGCTGCAAGCGAATATCAGCATTCGACGTTGCAGGGACCATCCCCGAGATCTTTTTAATCTCGTTCCACCACATGGTCGGTTTGGTATTTTTTAGGTTTGCAACTCTAGTGTTGTAATACTGGCTGTGAAGCTTCTTTCGCTCATGATTAACCATGTTACGAAGCTGTCGATACCTGACTTGAGCACCTTCAGCGTAGGCTTTCTGGCGTTGTTTGATCAAACTTTTGAATTCAGGGGTGACCCAGGGAGCGTCATTGACATGTAATTTAACAGACTTTAGTGGCATGAGAATATTGACACCATTTTTAACCAGATCTTCAAAGAGTAGTAACTTGTTTTTACATCCAGTGATGGAAAAGTCGCAATCTGATCGTGAAGGTGGCGGTACTGCTTTGGTTTACTGCTCAAATATCTCAGCTCAAAAAATTGAGGTTGACGTAAGAAATTCCTTTGAAGTATCCGAATTTGTACTGGTAGGCAGTTCATGGTGTATGCGGTTGGCTGTGATATACAAACTGCCTTATTCGTCAACCCATCCAGTGACCTCAGCTGCATTTCTCTCCAAGTTTACAGACTACTTGGAGTCATTTGTTATGTGTACTGAGGCCAT